GCCGCTCATGTCGCGACTACATCAATTGATGTAGTCAGCACTAAACGTGTTAAAAAAATGTTAAAAATGAAAACATTAAAAATGAATTAATCTAAGTTTTGCCATCAAGAAAACAAAGGATTGATTACCAAAAGATATGTTGCTCTAAGCGTGAATCTTGTGCGTACCCTAATATTACCTTATACACAGGAATACAGACATTGACACAAGTGTGAATTTTGTTTCAGGTGTAGTTCGTCAACAACACCCGTCCTCATTCGATCTCACAACATTTGAGAAAAAACCAGCGAATGGTTACGCCAAGCAGGAACAAGGATTTATGTCAAAAATAAAAATTTAGGCCTACCGCAGATGATTAATTAAATAGTTTTTTCTTGACATTTCTTCATTGTTTCATTTATATGTTCCTTTAAAAAGTGTGTTAATAAACAATAGAAACAATTTTATAAAAACAACTTTTATACTTGAATGTATTAGGGTACTTGTGATTACATCTGAACAAATATTTTTACTCATTTTTTTATTTTTGTGCATTTATTTTTTGTTTTTTTTACTGTGCAAGTATTTTTTGTGCACAATTTAGAATAGGTCTAAAAAGTTACTACAAAATCTATTATTATTTGTTGAGCCTAGCCTTCTTGTTTTCTCACATTAAATAAACAACAGGGAAAATGGAAAACTAAAAAAACAACATTTTCATGTAAGAATAAGATTCAGTTAAAAAAACTAGAAATTATTCATCAGTTGTGAGAAGTGAGTTAGTATTTTTTTTTACACTTTCAGTTGTTATAATCATACTGTATTATTATTAATAATAGGTTATTTTTCTAAACTATTTCAACTTAATCTTCTTAACATTCAAGCTAGTTATTACTATTAATTATTATCAGCTGAATAATGCTTGGTAATATAAACACTAATATAATAATTAACATATTATTTACTTTTTTATGCAAATAAATGCACTATCCAAAATGCTTGTTAAGTGGTACCTATTCTCATCAAGGTAATTTAATAAGTTTTTCTCAAATAATCTTCAATGTACGATAATTAAAAAAAATTGAAGCTGTCTTGGTCTAATATTTGTTAAGGTAGTTGCCATATTCTTTATCTTCCCTACTTCATTAAAACACATATTCTTTAAAGGTAAAATCATTTGTTTTTTTGTGGCTACTACCATTTTTAAGGAAGTCTACAAAAATTGCATAATTCTCTCATTCTTTGGTTTGATTATGATATGAAAATAAATGCTGATAGCTAGCCTACACCAACAATATAACATTACATTTTTTGCATACTGTATTGTAATGATGTAGTAACTGTAATAGGTGCTCTTTCCCCTTCTAGACTTTCACTAGGGCCCCTCTGGTTCACCTTAGGAGCTTGATGTGATCCGTACCCGAGGTCCTACGGGCCTGCTTCAGATGAAACTACTGAACAGCAGTAGGTTGTCCCTAAACTAGATCAATTAGGTATTTACCTGACAAATCACAAAACACATATTTCTAATGAAGACTTAAAATATTGTTTTACCATCATACAACACACCAACCCTCATGACACATAGTTCACCTCCCATAACATTAAACCTTCAAAGAAAACTGTTAGTAAAAATCAATGTATATAATTTTATATATTGATTTTTTATGACAATTGTATTTTGAGCCACTTTTTATTAATATGGCATCAAATATGTATCATCTATGTATAAAATATGTATTTTATACATTTAAGGTATGCATCAATTTCTATCAAAATTTACAGATTATATACAGATGTATAATATGTATCATATCTGTAGTTGGATCCTTATACAATATGCATATAATACATATTTAGGTGGGACATATTTACAGATACAATCTGTATTGTATACATTTCTATACAGATTGTATACAAAAGCTATACCATGCCGGTAGGTAAATTATACGTATTATATACATATTTGTGCTACTTGGGTAGTTTATATTATGAAGATTAATAGTTGAGAAACACTAAGTGTGCTTAAGTGAACAAATGGAAAACTGATAGAAAGAGAATTGCTATTTGTTTATTAAGAGCCTAATGTACGTCATTGGCGCTCGAGAACTAGATGGCTGCACAGTTTTAGTCCTGAGTGTGGCCATACATTTTGAGAGAGGCAATGACTGTTTGAACTTGTAATACACATAGGCCTAACTTGTCATAACTCATAACACACAGATTATCTTTTTAGTTGCAGGCCTATACAAAATGTCATTTTGGCTATGTTTGCTCTTTTAGATTATGTTATTTGCTTGTCGGTTGTTATCGTACTGGCTCTGTGGCTGCGATTGGTGTAGAAACGCCAACTGTGAAATCAGCTGATTTAGCGAGTGGGAATGGTCATTACAGCTATATAGCTATTTTGCGTACTGTTTATAGGTGTGCCAATGTGATAATTTTCATGCAGTGTTAGGAAATATGGCTTATTGTGTATTAGGAGGGCAAAATACGTCATTGCTGCTCGAGAACTGTGGATGGTCGCAAAAAGTTTTGGCTAAGAGCAGCGCTATACATTTCAAGAGCGGCAATGACTGTTGGTGCTCACAATCCACATACGATTTTTCCTACCACCATAATTAACTAATCATAACTCATAGATTAACTTTTTAGTTGTATAAAATGTCATTTATGTTAAGTTCGCATTATCTTCTGGAAGGAATGTAACCTAGATCGTCACTATTAGACATGAAAACAATGTCTAGAATACAAAACCAAGAAACTCAAACAATTAACTATCGACTTTATACAGTCAATCTTCTGGGCTACACACTAAAAGAACTTCAAAAATGTCTAAATTAGCATTATTCTTCCATTCCAAATTCAGACATTTGAGTTGATCTGCTGGTGTTGAGTTCTTCAAGTATGGAAAGAGGTTTGTTTTTTTTTTCATCAAAGGAAGTCCTCCTTTGGCGGGCAGTTGAGCCATTACACGTCCACGCAATGTCACGCCTCAATGTTTTTGTATAGCATTTCGTCGCCGGATTTGGTTAGGATTGGAATTGGGTCGTTTCGTAGTAGACCTGCATACCCGAAGTCAATGTCCGCTGTTCTGAAACATATGTTGTCAGAAGGCCCGTAATTGTCATAAAAAAAATTTTTGTACCTGTATGCATCTGTTCGTATTTTTGTTCAATGTTAAATCTTTCATCGTTAGTGAATCCATGGTGAATCCAGTTAAGTGGTTCGCCAAGCGTCAGTGAGGTCCCGGATGAGAGGCTTCATTAGCAAGCAATAGATAATAATAATTCAATAGGTTAAGATAATCGTAAATTAGCTATTGCAAGCGGCCCACGTTTTTCGTAAATCTTACATAAATCTTACAAGTATTTATTCCCTCCACATTTTTATAAAATATTTTCTACTTTTCAATACGTTTAAAAATGTGATATTTTAAAAAGTCATGTGGAAATTATCGTAGTCTTCCGAGATTGCAGCAAAACTCTGTTCATGTCCCCCGTGGAATGGAAACATCATCATATTCATCTGCGGTCGCGGAAAAATTTTTATCGTCTCCTGCGGCGTTCAGACAATGTTGTCTTGTGCGATTGCGTCAAAAGCGGTAATTTTCCGATCGTCGCAAAAGTGTCTGGTATCGGTATCAGGATCGACTTTTGACGATCGATTCTCGACACTGATAAGTTACCAATGTCCAAGAATTGAAAATTGAGTGTTATTGAGAATCGGTATCAATAAACAACACATCCCTAATATAAAAAAAAATTTTGGGGTGGCCCCGCCCCCCTCTTTGGATACGCCACTGGCTTGCATATAGATACAACCAGAAATGACCTCAGGGACTTGTAAAGGTGCGACCAGACAGGGCGCTGCCCCGCTTTTGGGGTAAAACGCAAATTAGTAAAGAGTCTGCACATTTTACATAATTGTGTATGGGACCGGAAAATTTTACATTTTGAATAGTTGCCAGTAAAACCCGCCAGCAATCACTTTTTTCCTCTTTTTGCATTGTTGTAAAATATATCGCACAAGTTAATCTACTAGCCTGAAGTAATGTGAAAAACAATTCCGGTCTCGTACCTAGCGTCTTAGGACAAAAAGAAAAAAAATTGCATTAAATTATTGTGGTTGTTGCCATGATGTATAAGATGTTCACGACATTGCTATATTGTGTTTCATAAAATTATAAATTGGATGACGTTTTGTATTAGAGTTATAAATGTTTCATTGGTTAAGTAGTTAGGCCTATATAGTTAAATTCAACTGTTCTTGCTAGGACACCATATGCTTCTTACATAGTCTAAATTCGACCCGGGGCCTAGGAAAATAACAAATAGAAAACACCACATAACAAAGGAAACATGTAAATTTACCATTCTTAATTTTATGAATAAAAAAAGGAAAGATTATCCTAGAGCTACTATATGGTGATTGGAGAGATCATAAATACTAGTATTTTACATTGCTATTATTGTTTGTTGGTAATGTTGGGGTATAGTAGGAAGGGCTCTAAAGGTTTGGCCCCACACCATCCAATGCCGGGCCCTGGTCACAACAAAAACACAATGATTCATTTTTTTTTTTTAGAGGAAAGCCTTACTCATTGAGCCAATGACATACTTGATTCTGGACTCGGAACCTAGAATGAAATTCCTTTTCATAAGCCAGGTTTCAGATTGAAGAAATCTACCTGAAATTCATTTGATCTGCACATAGGCTTTCTGAAGTTGCATTTCATTATATAGGATTTAGTTTGGAAAGATAGTGTTTACATCTCGGATGGAAGTTTCTAGCAAGCTTCAATCTTATTAGATTATCAAGTCTCAACTGTATAACCTAATGTTAAACTGTAATCTTTACCCCCCTAAGGAACTAGTTATGGATTCCTAGTGTTTTTGGGTTGCTCATTTGTGTCATGTTCATATTCCTCTTTAGTCTGTAGAATGTAAAAGAATGTTACATTTAAAAACATAAAAAATAACATCTATACCAGCTGCTAGGCCATAACTTATTGTTTTCAATATTTATGATGTCAAAAATTTGTGTTTTTGATAAAATATTGAACAGTATTTATTTTTGATTGATAAGACCTAAATGCTTGAGATTTAAAACTATTCATCCTTTCTTAAGTATTGTTAAACATTATGAATGGCAACTAGTTTGGGGCAGTGTTTCAACCTATTGACTAATATTAGAAAATGTTATTCGTTAAAAAGTCAATAAGTTTTCTAGTGTAAACAATTTTGTACCTTATTCTTGTTTGGAAACAAAAAACTGTACAACCAAATAATTGTAATAGAAAAAATGGGACATCAAATTTCATGACAACCATAAAATTACCCTTCTTAAAAAAGTTTTGCTGCTGTATGGAGTTGGTTACTGGAGTGCGGGTTGTCACTGGATTTGCTCTTGTAAGTAAAGTAGCCTGCTCTACAGAAATTGAAATTTACAACTATCTGTAGTTTGCTATTCATTTTTTATACTTCTCTGCATGGTATAGTTAAAAGCCTAGATTTACATTTCCAGGGTTGTCAATATTTAATGATGTGTGTAAGACAAAGGAGGAACTAAATTAAAGTCGAGCGATTTACAGAACACTATCAAGAGATTTGTTTGGTGTGATGACACAACTAATTTTGTTAAATTAGTGAACTTACAGGAACCCAATCACTATCTATTGAAAGTAAAAGTTGTATTTTTTATATTAAATACTACTTTCTATAACGAAAATAAGATATCTCGCATAATAATAGGGTTCACTTCTTGACAACTAATGTACAGAGTGGCCGAAAAGTCCCTTTACACAATATTGCAGTACGTACACTATATAAACACAACTGATCCTTTGCCCAGACAATGGAGGTATACATGCTGATGTTATGGGCTAAAAATTATGTTTACTTGGTTTTAGTCCACAATAAATTTCTAATGAAAATTTTACTAAAGGTTTCTATGGTTTTAACCCTTAGCGCTTGTTTTTTTTTACACTGGAGCAAACAAAAATGGTTATAAAAAGAATTTTTTGATAGTTAGCTCTTTAAACTTTAGACCTAATCTCTATATTCATTTTCTCATATTGTTATGTATATTTTATTATAATACCCTTAATTTTATGATATCCTTAATTTGATTTGAAACTAATATTTTGGACCCTTTATTTTTTCATCATGAAATGTAATAATGGTGTTAAAGAGGGGAACATTTTAGTTAAAGAAGTTTTTACTGCAAACAAATGTTATTTTTAATTTTACAAAAGTATAATATCCTATCCTATCCTATACTCTAATACGAGCAATGTTTGCTTGTATGTATGTATGCTTGCTTGCTTTCAAAAAAGATCTCGAAAACGCGGCTCCGACGATTTTCTTCAAATGTTGTAAATAGTTTATTTCTGGCCTGAAAACGAGTTTACTGCAGTTAGAACTGCCAACAAAAATCTAATTACATAGAAAAATTAAACTGAAAATCACATTTTTTAACATTAGTCTTATGGGTTGCTAGGTAATCATGTTTAGTCGAGGCGCTGAGGGGGTTTGAGCATGCATAAAAGTGTAACGAAATTTGACTTTTGATTGTTGCTATGGGTACCTAGTAGATAAAGAAAATCGATGTTGTCGCATTTCTAGGTGGTTAATAACATGGGGGGGAGGGGGTGAAGTTGGGGGGCCGCCCGGGGGGCCGCCGCGCACAAAATAGCTCATATCTCGAGAACCAAAAATCATATGAATACGTTAGAAACCTCAAACTGTGCAGAAATATGCATTCTACAAATAGATTATGTAGTAGTTTCACAGAAATTGACAAGAAGTTACTAAAAATTATATTTTTAAAATTTACGATAAGTATAATCAGGAGTATAATGGTTTTTGTTGTTGTTTAGAACCATTAATTTTTTAATTGACAACTTTTGAGAGTAGTACACTATAGGTAAATAGTACTTCTGTATAATGAAACTATTGCGGTACATAACTTAACAGCTATACAATCCTCAGATCCAATAAACATAACACAAACAAAGGCGCAAAACGCGTCGCGGTCATTGTTCCTGCTGCCTTAACTATTAATGGCGAGTACAGTTCAAGCTGAGACTTATATTATACTTTTAGAACGATGGAGATTCTGAGGATTCATTTTCATATATATAAAATAGTATTGAGGGACTATTATGTAGCGAGAAATATAGTTTGTAAAAGAAGAGAGTTTATAAAAAATTGGGTAATTGAATATAGTTGAACGTTTCCATCATCTGACCAGGCTGCACAATTGGTGCAACAGCTGTTTCGGCGATCGCGTAAAGGTAGTGTAAACGATACGAGTAGAAAATGTTAAATACAAGCCTTGGTGAGTGCCTTAAAAACTTCTACGAGTGTCGTTAACACTATTTACGCGAGTTGTGTGCATTAATTAACCTGCAACAGTATTTTAATTACCAAAAACCACTACTCAAAACTTAAAAAGAGAGGTTATTTTTTCTTTATCCCTCATTGTCTCTGACAGTAATGCAACGAATCATCGCACCAATCGTTAACAATTAAATTGACCTGAACAGCTGAAGTTATAGTTGAAGTTCGAAGCATTATAATTTTACTTCTTCTCTCAATCCTTGACCCTATCTGGGTACCAGTGGTGGTTATATTTTGGCCCTTTTTGTAGTGGTACCATATAATTCACCAGAGAACAGTTACATGCCCATATAAGTAGATATCTATTATATATTATGTTTCAGTGATAAATGTAGAATATAAAAATATATATTTTTCAGCAATGCTTTTAGGCGTAGTAGCAAGAGGTTTGCAATTTTTTGGATTATTCAACTTAGAAATGTTTAAATCAACCCGCAAAAATCATAAAAATAATGTTTTTATCCATATTATCCAAATGTTAAGGTTGTGTAAAATATGATTCCTTACGTAGAAATAGCAATGTTTTTTTTTTAATACGCATAAAAATAAAATTATAAAAAACTACCAAACTACTTTATTTACCAAATTGTATTTAATTGTTGTATGAGAAATAAATTTATTGCATCAACAGTAAATAAATATTATACTGCTGTAACAATTTAGTATTTTCACAAAAATTTTCAATAGAATATAATTTAATTTTTACCATATGTTTTTACTTTTATCAATATGTCAATCCATCTCTCTTTATCAAACCTTGTATAATATATTGCCAAACAGACCAATAGGTAATTGATTCAATACATTATAATATAGAACATTTTCAAATAACCTTATTTAATGTAAATATATAATAACCTATAACTTTTTGTAACAAAGTTGCTTCAATTTCAATATAATTTTACTTAAATAACTTGTCAAAATTCAAATTTAGCTCTATGGCAAATGAAAATTGTTATAATATATGTGTGAACAGTGGCCTACAATTTTCCGTGATAAAGTCAGCATTGACATATGTGAATGCAACAATGCATCAAACCTTCCTCACTTCTAAGAGTGCTGAGCTAGTATGAAGATATAAATTGTAAACTGCATATTTTAATATAAAATTTTTTTTTAAGTGCATATATTTGGAATAAATTAGTGAAATTTGATTAAAGAAGATCCGTCCTTGTTACAAATATTAATAACTACACAACATCAAGAAATTTAACTGTGAAGAAGACGTCAATTTTGGTGAGATCACTCCAGTAGACATTTTCTTTCCTTGGATCGAAGCCATTACAACACTTTTAAGCCTAACTTTTGAACATTTGTACCATAATTTAAAAGTCAAGAAACTAATAGAAGCTTATAGAACATAAATTAATTAACCTTTCAGAAAATAATTCGAACATAATTTATATTTCAAAACAAAATTTAATTAGGCTATATATAATCACAAAATTAAATTCAAAGCTCGATCACCCCACCTGAGATAAAGATCCATGCAATATAACCCCTCAACCTAAATTAGAACTATTGTAATAGGCCTAGCCTAAAGCTTAATTTAGTAAATTCATTTGCACCCTTTGTAAACTTTTATTGTGAACCCTTAGTTTCTTTTCTTTTACAATCAATTTTGTATTGTAATTAAATAAATTTAAGTTTAGATACTGTACATGGAGTTTCCATTGTATTCCTAGCTTGTATTTTTAGCCTTGTTACACTGCATAATTTAAGAGTAAAAGCTCTTTCTAAAAATGTATAGTTAAATGTTGTTGAAATCGAAATTTCCTGAGTAATTTACGTCAGAATGTGAAATGTTAACATTCTTTTACGAAAACATAATTTTTATCACCTTTTCAAAACTACATAAAATTGTTATAACCAACCTCAGATTCGGAGATGTATAAATTGTAGGGAATTTATTGCAGTTTCAGATGGTGATGGAAACGATCCACCACCAAAATATATTTTGAACTCTCTTCTTTTACAAACTATATTTCCCGCTACATAATAGTCGCTCAATACTATTTTATATATATAGATATGCAAATGAATCCTCAGAATCTCCATCATTCTAAAAGTATAATATAAGTCTCAGCTTGAACTGTACTCGCCATTACTAGTTACGGCAGCAGGAACAATGACCGCGACGCGTTTTGCGCCTTTGTTTGTGTTATGTTTATTGGATCTGAGGATTGTATAGCTGTTAAGTTATGTACCGCAATAGTTTCATTATACAGAAGTACTATTTACCTATAGTGTACTACTCTCAAAAGTTGTCAATTTAAAAATTAATGGTTCTAAACAACAACAAAAACCATTATACTCCTGATTATACTTATCGTAAATTTAAAAAATATAATTTTTAGTAACTTCTTGTCAATTTCTGTGAAACTACTACATAATCTATTTGTAGAATGCATTTTTCTGCACAGTTTGAGGTGTCTAACGTATTCATATGACTTTTGGTTCTCGAGATATAAGCTATTTTGTGCGCGGCGGCCCCCCGGGCGGCCCCCCAACTTCACCCCCTTCCCCCCATGTTATTAACCACCTAGAAATGCGACAACATCGATTTTCTTCATCTACTAGGTACCCATAGCAACAATCAAAAGTCAAATTTCGTTACACTTTTATGCATGCTCAAACCCCCTCAGCGCCTGGACTAGTTGGCTGAATTAAATAACAAGGAAATAGTAAACTAGGTGGTGTTCGCAGAGGCATCCACAAAATTAAACGGAGTCATCAAGGGTTCATTATATTGTTTTTGTCATACTGCAGTAAAAACAGAGTCGTTTTTAATGCATGCGTTGTGGGTCTAAAGTAGCATTTTTACTCTCTTAGTAAAAGTCGTTTTTAGCCTCTATGGAGTAAAAATCAGTTGTGGTCAACTCAGTTGTAAACTTTGATTGTAAACCATTGCATGTATCGAAAATATGTATCGATTCGTGCTTCGTAATCATTTTAACCTACACAGTCTACAGTCTCTTCCCATAGCATTTTAGTATTGCGGATACATT